ATCCCACTACTCCACAAACATCTCTCCTAGTGCTGTTTCCTGATCATCTGATTTTCTCCATATATTTTTTTCTTGTAAGATGACGAATAGCGATAAGAACGCTTCTAGTGCCAATATTGATCTTGAAACTAAAATTGCGGCGCAGGTGACTGAGGTATTGGAAAAGGCAGTAATATCGCCTACATTCTTAAGCTCTTTGGAATCTGTGCTCACTGAACTCGTAGCAAAGCATCTGGAAGATTCGATGAATTTCAACAATAATCTTATGACTTGTTTATAAAAGAAATTGGCTGAACGTGACCGCGAGATTTCAAATCTAAAACCTCAGAAGAAAGGACAGATCAGCTCGAGATGTACTCACGTCGTAACTGCTTGCGGATATTCGGCGTTGAAGAAACTGAAACTAAAGACACCAACAAGGTGGTCATCGAGCAAGTTGCAAAAACGATATGTGTTAGCTTAAACCTACAAGATATTGATAGGAGTCATCGGTTAGGTCGTCAAGTAACTGGCAAAAACAGACCCATCATTGTTAAATTTGTCAGTTACAGGAAACGCAACGAAATGTTCCGCTCGAAACGGCTGATCACGCATACGGGGATAACGATTCGCGAGGACCTCACGAAATCGCGCCTGGTTTTGCTACAAGCTGCTATCGACAAGTTTAGCCTCAGGAATGTGTGGACAGAAGATGGCACCGTCGTTATTAAACACGGTAAGGGTCGTACCCGGGTGCAAACCAGGGCCCAGCTAGAGGCACTTAATCCTTAGCGTAGGAGTGCCCCCACCCTTCCACCCCCACTCTCCACCTCATTGCCTTAACCACTTTCGTTTTTTTTCAAGTACTCTCCTTCCCTTCTTCTTCTCCGAACATTTCTTCTGCATATCTTCAGTAAATGCTACCTACTTTCTTCCCTGCACATCCTGTAACCCTGTTACTTGTGGGTGGCCGGACCGTCCCCTCGTCCCCTCGACCTTCCACGCGTCTGACACAATAAAGAAACATTATGCTCGCCCCTCTGTCTGCACGTTTCACATTTAAATGCCCAGTCTCTGCCTTGCCATTTCGACGAAGTAACGGAAATAATATCTAAACACCGTTTTCATGCAATTCTCATAATCGAAACCTGGTTGAAGCATTCTCTCAATTCCGCGCTAATAGCAATTTCAGAGTACCACCTAATAAGAGCTCATCGGAAGGCCAGCGTCGCCGCACACGGTGGAGGCCTCGGTATATACATTCGCGAAGATCTTACGCATAAACTTGTACTATCCTCAACAAATACGAATTGCCTACGTAGTGAATATATTTTTTTCGAAGTTGGACTTTAAGGGAAAAATTTCTCTTGGCTGTCATATATTTACTTCCTAAGACAGGCACCATAAATATGCCTTTGCTTCTGCGATCAATTCTTATGAACATGTTATTGTAATGGTTGACTTTAATCATAACTTCTCCCTCTCCTTCTCTCTCTCTCTCTCTCTCTCTCTCATAACTCTCTCCCTCTTTAGAGAATTTTGCGCGCTTTTTCCACGGCATGTACCTCGAAATTTTACCTCTAGCACCAACACACCACTCAAAGAACACAGAAACTTGGATCTATCATATTATAGTGTCTAATACAAAGTTCGAAAACACAGACAATTTTCAGTTCCTGGGATTTCAAAACACGACCTAATTTACCTTGTTTACAACCTGAAGTGCCCTAAATACTCGCCTCACATATTCAAAAACAGCGATTTTTCAAAATTCGATGTGCAAGCATTTAATATTGATAGATTGACACTTCCATGGCACCTTGTACACGAAGAAGAATCACTGGACGCTAAAGTGGCGATTTTCACTAACTTAATAATAACACAGCTCTATGACCCGCATGCGCTTTTAAAAATTTCGCCTATAACTCGTCCTCCTGCACCATGATTAACTGATGAAATCCGGAATATAATGAAAGATGGTGATGCAGCGTGTGCAATTTTCCGTAAAACTAAATCCGAAGTATTTAAATAACAGTGCAAAATGCTCAGAAATTTAGCTACGCAGAAATGCCGCAACGCTAAAATAAAATATTACCACACATCCTTCAGCAGAAACCGCGACTTGAGAAGGATTTGGAAAAATCTGAAAAATCTAGGAATCGGCAAAGGTCCTCCCCAAATTGAAACGAATATTCCTTTAGAATCACTAAATCATGGTTTCATAAATAACGTTCCTTCATTTGACAGTAACTTGAAAATGCAATCTCTTGCGTTTCTCCAAAACTCAACAATAAAATCCAACGATAAATTTTTCGTCTCGTCCATAGAACATCAAGATATAATCGAAATCGTTCAAGGTATCAAATCTATTGCTTGAGGTTCCGATGGTATAAATGCCAAATTGCTAAAAAGCCCAAATGTGACCTACCCAATCATTACCCGCCCAATTAGCATCCTCCCAACTATCTCTAAAGTACTCGAAAAAATCGTCCGGAAACAAACTGAACAGTATCTTTAAAAATAATCACTTTTAAGCGATCAGTAATCAGGTTTCTGTTCCGGCAGGAATACAGGATCCGCGCTACTAAACGTTATTGAAGACGCGAGAACAAGCAATAGAATACAGTAATATAACTATCTCGGTTCTTCTGGATTTCTGCAAAGCATTCGATTCAGTAGATCACGATACTAACAAAACACAAAACTAAAGATCATGAGATTTGCACAGCCCACGCGGACATGGTTTCTTAATTACTTAACTTCCAGAACCCAAAGAGTGGTGTCCGATAGCCGCAGTTCAAGGGACTTGAAACGTAACCGCGGAATTGCTCAAGGCACTGTGTTAGGGCCACTGACCTTCCTAATCTATGTAAATGACGTAGGAAATGCACTTTAATATTGCAGTCATCAAATGCATGCGGATGATCTCCAGATATATCTAAGTGGTCACCCGTCTCACCTCTTATTACTCGTACAAACAATTAATGAAGATTTAATAACCGTAAACAACTCTTTAGGCTTACAATTAAACCCAAACAAATCACAGTGCATGGTTATGAGTTCGAAAATCACTATGAATAAAAGTTCATCTGCTTTGCCGAATATTTATATAAATAACACCACTTTACCTTGGTGTTCCGAAATCAAGAACCTTAGAACTAGAACTCGCTAGAACACGCAAGAACCTGTAACAAATATTGTACTTCGGCTTCTGGGTCAATGATCCCTATCTCGATCAGGTTTTCGACCAGTTTCCCTGATCCTCGAGAAAATGCTGTAATGGTCCCTTGTTTTGCTTCTGGACATAAATGTAACTTCAAATCCACTTCTCTCCATAGCACGTCACACACAGTTTTTAACAGTTTTGACGTAAATAAATAAATAGATTCAACCTGCCGTAAAGTTTTTGTCTCAATGCATTCACTGAAATGCCTGCGAACACATTTACCAGGTAGCACACGTGAGATTCTCATCAAATCACTTATCATGGCACATTTTGACTATTGCGACTTTCTTCTGACCAACATTACATTCAAATTACAACGTAAACTTCAATTAGCCCAGAACGTTTTATTTTTGATCTAAGAAAATACGATCATGTATCGGAATTTTTTGACAGAATTCGTATGCTTACTCTAGATAAAATACGATTACTCTACGCTCTACTTCGTCTTTATAAAGTTTTAAACGGTTCTCATGCAACACGCCTCATAAGTAACTTCAATCCTCAAACACTAAACCGAGCTCGTGATTCAACTCTGATTTGTGTACCACGTCACAACACGACTTCGTTCAGTAGATCATTCACCATTACCGCTATCCAAGCCTGAAATTACCAGCCAGTCTAAAACATTCAAATACTTTCGGCAAATTCAAAAATGAATTAACCACATGGGTAAGGAATGACGACTTTTAGAAATGTTAACGTCTTCTTCAATCTCCGGACGTCTCCCACTTCCAAGCGCCCGGTCACCGCTCCTAATTTTCCATTCCCTCTTACATCTTCAGAATGTTATGCCATATGTCAAAGGGAATTCAAATTTGCAAAATACACTAAACGAGCTGCATGAAGGCTGACTGAATTTCAAAGAATCTGAATATATAATACAAATAACTTAATTTAGAGTTATTTATTTAGTCCAAAAACAGTAAAAACTGTATGTGACGTATGGGGGAGAAGATATCCTGCACACGTTTTCTCGAATTCCAGATTCCCTTCCCATCATTGTAACTATAAATAGTTGTAAGATGAGTAAAAGTTAAAGATAAATAAATAAAAATAAAATTAAAAAACGTGAGATTAGCGACATTTTAAAATCTAGATATTTTTGTTCCCGAATTATAGAAAATGTTTTTGCCACCGTAAACGAACCGCAGATTTTATTTTCTGCATTGCTAACAAAATAGTTACTCGCCCTTACCTTCTACCACTACAAGTTAAAGGAGAGTTCAACAAAACATAGTGAAGCTACATTTACGTTCAGAAGCAAAACAAGGGCCATCTCAGCATTCGCTCAACGTATCAGGTAAACTGGACCAAAACCTGATCGAGATGGGGGTCATTGACCCGGAAGCTGAGGTACATTATTTGATACAAGCATATTAAGTCTGTTTAAAAATTTATACGATACAAATGTAAACTAATTAGTTATATATCACTGTTTTATTAAATAAATATTTTTCTTTCTGTTGATCAGTATAGTCTCTAATTGTATAGAAAGAGTAATGCAGCAGAAAATATTTTATTTTTTACTTAAATTTGGGTGTAATCAAGATATATTAATACGACGACAATTTCCTCTAAAGAATGTCCAGAAAGAAGACAGTGTGAAATCCAGGGAATCGTCTCCATTTCCTCTGTTTCCTTCCGCCAGGACCCGTTCACATCCGCTCGATTCGCTCGATTCCCCCCGAGCCCGCAATGCAACTGGCTCTGCCTACTTTTCAGATCGCGCACTCTCGGGATTTCGGCGCAGCGGAAGTATAATGGCATGTGCTTTCACATATATGGTGGAACTCACCTGGAGAACATGGCTGCCTAAATTGCGCTGAACGATCGGTAAGTGTGGAGAGATAGGAGATACACCAAACGATGCCGACACCAACACTTTCAAACGAACTGTCCTCCAACAAATCGGTATTAAGATATTCTTTACTACTGATTGTTTATTAGTGTGTCATATTAAAAAAATAATGAATCTTTTCTTCGTCATTTATACGTATATAACTCATAATAAGTTCATCAAGTTTTTCACAAGTTAGTCTCTTTTTACACAAGTTAACTCACAAAAATATTGCGAATTACTTTTGGCGCCAAATTCAAATTTTCAAAAATAAAAATTGTAGAAACAATCATTTTATCATGTTTTGTGACCTGTTTTGATGTGAAAAAGTTTAAAATAAAAAAAAATGTTAATATTATTGAACGCATCCACATAACATTGTGACAGGAATGAACTTATTAACGGTACTTATATTATTTGAGAGCAGAAGACGGAAAACAAGTGAAGACAGCAGAAGAAACATACGACGAACTTACACTGTCAGATTCTTTGCTATCAGGTGATATATTAGGGTGAGCATGCCCTACAAGGACCAGCACTGCACGTTCATTCATCATTGTCACTGCCCAATATATTTTCTGCTATTACAAGAATGGGTGATTCTCACTTTCTTGAAAAAGCTTCACTTGACTCGTCATGAAAAGGAATTTTGAAAACCTTTTTTTCCTAATACATTTAGCTTTCTTTTTGTGGTAAAAAGTAAATTTTCAACATAACAAGAAGGCTGATTGTAACAATCTTCTGCAATTATAGGTTTTCATGTTAAGAAAATACAAATAACAGTAGTATTGATATTATTTTAATGCTATGTGTGGTCACTAACGTCACAGAATAACGAAATTTTTTCTCGGATGGGTCTGTTTACATAACGGACTCAATATAATATTTAAGAAAGAAGGCTGCCCTGTTTCAGGCAGACCCGAGCAGTGCCAGTTGTTTATAAATAAATATAATAGTAGAATTTCGTCAGAACACTTCCATTAGAGACCGTACGCGTGTTTTTGCGATTTATAACAGAAGTCGCACGGTTGCTTTATGTTTGGACGTCACCACACGACGTGCCATTGACGCCCAGTGATTCGAGTAGCCAGTCTGGCAGGCAGATGCATAAGCAAATGTGTAGAAATAAATGAATATTTAAAAATAATAATTTAAGTGTCAGCTTAGTGTGGAACTTGGAATTTTAAAAATTAAAATATATTTTAAATATTTTAATAATATGTTCCCAAAAATTATATTTACATCACATGAAAGTCTTTCTTTTTTAGTGTAATTCAGATGTAATTGTATTGTTCTGAAGAAAACGTTAACGTTATTTGGGCAAGAAATGTTTAAACATTAGAAAGAAAAAGGTGTCACCTATTTTCAACCCTAGACCTCACAAAAAAGTTTCAAGTCACTAAACAGTAGTGATGTTTGTTTGTGTGCGATTTGACATGTAATGACTCAATACCTTCCTAAAGTTTACTAAAATAAAGGAACGGAGTTTACTATCATGGGAATCATACGATGCCCATATTAATATACATAATATTGCTGTTTGAGAGCGAATTCTGTATCTCTGAAACCGGTAATTTGTAAGGAAGCTGTAACTAGGTATAAGAAACCTCTGCCTTTTACTCTTCAGTGTAGGATGTTGTACTAAATCTGCCATTAGCATTAGAACCATAAATATTAAATAACAAACTTTAAATACAATTGGAGGATTAACTCGCAAACACATACACGAACCATGCAAACCACGGGCAGGAACAAAACAATAATGCATCATGTGACCATCACGTTGTCATTTGTCGCATAGTCAACCGATGTGAACCAAAACTCTGAGATTGGGCGGTGAGTCAACAGATGCACAATATATTTTTTTTATGCTGGACTGTGTGGCGCTTGCTCCAAAATAGCAATTAGCATCCCGTCGATAAAAAAATTAAATGCCAAATATGTTTTAGTAGATAGTATACACCTTCACGCATAACATTGTTCAAAAAACTTTTTAAAAAAAATGGAAACTAAATGGCGATTGGTTGATTGATGCATAACACCGTCCAATTACATCCTCCCGGAAGAAAATTTCTTGCCCTAGCTCTGCACTGGCCTCCGGTGTCCGTGCCGTATTCCCAGGTTTTGATGTTGCAGATGTAGCAGCTCCGAGAGCGATGCGTGCCGCCCGCTGGAAAATCCGGCACCGAAGCCGCCTTTGCTGTGCTCTTCGCGACGCGCGAAAGTGACAGGCGGCATCCGCTCCCGTCCAATCGCGGCCGTTCCCCTTCCTCGCGTCACGCAGTGGGCCACTGCGCGCGACTCACTGGACAAAGTCTGCAGCATCAACGACGCGTTTTATACTTCGCCACGCGCGAGGTCACTCGCAGGAAGAAGTCAGCAGCTTCATCGACACGTTTGGAATACACAGTGTAATTGCTCACTGTCCGCCATCCGCGAGAAGATGTCAAGAGCTACAGAGAGTGTTTTTGGAGTTGCCGCGCAGAAGGCCTCGCGAGAAGAATTTAGCAGCTTCAACAGCTCTAGCTGAAAACGATATTTGGCTGAAACTCTGATTCTTGGCTGAAAACGATATTTGGTACTTGATAACATCTGAACGGAGCATCCAGACATGAATATATCTGCCCTCAAAAATGGTACTTCAGTGTCAATTGGTATCAGTGCATGTAACAAAAGTGGATTTATGCCCGGCAGTCATAAGACCTGTAATAACGTATGCAGCGGAAACGTGGCAATAAAACAAACATTTGATTTATTTTAATTTATTTTATCAAAAATAGTAAAAAACTGTATGTGAAGTATGGGGGAGCAGTGTCATTTGCTCACGTTTTCTTGAGCTCCAGAATCCCATTCTGCTATAAACAATTGAAAGATGAATAAACACTAAACATACGTAATAAACTAATGGAGAGAGAAAATAATGAGAATACGTGGACTAGTCAGACTGCCAAATATATATTGAAAAATAAAACTAGTGGTGCTACACAAAACATTCTATCTCGCATTATTTGTAACTTTTGCCATTTTCGAACATCTAGATAGTTCAACGAAAATTAAACTTGAGACATTATTATATTCTATCTCTGCTCTATTTGAATTGCATTTTGAAGTCGCTTATGAGAAAATATTTGTAATTGCCTTTATTTCACGCAAAGGTTGCCCGAAAACTGCTAGATTTTTCAAAACATTGTTCATATACGTGTTTAATGATCTCCTTTTAGAACAAATTTCATTAAGGAAAAATTCGCGATCGTCAACATTAGAATTACAATTTTCAAAAATAGAGTAAATCGAAAATAAAATATGCGCCACTTTTATTATCGTACTTACCTCTATTTGAAAAAAACTACAGAAAAAAATTAGAGCGGTTTCCCCCAAATATATTTTCTAAGATTTCTGTATTTCACGCTGAATTACGCAATAACTTCTCATATTATCGAAAGACTGTAAGGGACATTATTCATAGGTGTGATTTTGAAGAACAGATTTCATTGAAGAAAAATCTTATCTTCGTTTTTGTAGGTGTATTAAGACGCGGGGAAAAAATCGAAACTTTGCCATTTACAAAAATTCAGAGTTCAACGGAAATGTCTGCGTAAATATGATGCCTTTTTTTGCTCAATCGGAGAAAAACATTCGAAGCAATTTTTGAGAAAAAATAAGAATAAATTGCTCGAATAGAACAAATTATGGTACTTGTATGAAAATGGCACAGGTCTTATTTTCAGTTAAATCCGTATTATCGAAAATTGCAAAACAATAACTTTGAAAATCGACAATATTCATGACAGATGTTTCCCTTACCTTCTAAAAAAATAGATCTTTAAATAATACCATGTTCAATTTTTCGAAAATATGAGCAATTTTCGGATAGTTTTTACTTGAAGTGAAGGCAATTAAACGAAAATATTTTTTCGAAACTTCTTTCTTTTATATTTCAACCCGAACCATTTACAGAAATCAAAGTTCACTGGGTCTATAGCTCTTAGCGTTCTCAATTCGGGCCTGAGATGTAGATATTTTTTTCCATAACGACTATGGGCGGGGGCGGACACGTCGCGAGATAGATTTTTAATCAACTGGACGAAGCGCTCACTTATAGGACCGGGTTTTGGATGTTAGGCGGCCTATGCCTCTAAAACTTGAATCCACCACGGAATTTAACTTTAAGCTACTACCATGGATATTTGGGGTTTTGAAACTGAATCTTGGGTGTTTTATTTTTTTGTATCGCCACTACAGTAACTTCAAACTTCTGAAGTGGTTTGTAGACAGTCTGGTTTAAAAAAATAAGTTTATTACCGTACCATAGAGAGTAGATATTACTTTTACTGTGCCTGGGTGCAAATGAATCAGTAATCTTGTGAAGGGCAAATCTCCAGTTTTGGGGCAAATGATTGAAACACATTTGAACACACTTTTTATCTTTATTACATGTGAAAACATAAAACACTGCATACTCGGTGTTCGCTATTGTAATCTAAGCAGGTGTGGTTTTCTGATTCTTCCCAAGAGGTCTCTTCTTCAGGGATGTTGCATTTTCCATTAATGTGCGCACCCAAACAACGGATGGGTGTGATATTTTCGAAAGAACGTTTCAATTACTCATTTACTAGCTCAGCGAGGCACATCCGTCAGGTATTTTCATGTTAAAAAAGTGTGGGTGCTTTGCAAGTTTATAATGAAAATAAATTTTAAACATATTGCAGTTGCTCGAGTCGTCCATTTTCAGGTGTAGCAAGTTACATGAAAAAGTATGGACGACAATAATTGTTTAATATTTTGTTTTATTACGTTATGTTTAATTATCGCTATCCGATGAATTAAGTCGTAAGGAATTAATGTGACTGTGGAAAAGAATGTAATAATTCACTGCGTTACACCAACTTACAACTAGAAGCATTGATACCTGGTATTATTAATATCTATTACACAAATTATTTTGGTCACGTTACTGCTTGCTACTTTTGGTATCAATGAATTAATATTTCATTATCATTATAACCTCTTATTTATTACATTTACAGGACTCATTACTCATTTTCTTTCTAATATATGTCATTTCCTTCACACATCAAAAAACTCTCTCTTTCTTCTCTCCCCTGACAATATACTGTACACGGTTCTTTGACATTTGACTCGCATAATACTCCATACAACAAAAGAATAAAAGACATGTGTCTTTCAGGAATTCTTCTCGAATATCCTAGGGGGAACCGACTAAGAATTGTGCAAATTCATTTGTCGTGTCGAGAAACAAAAAATAGAGACATTTCTAAGATTTTAAAACTTTTCTTTATTTATTTGCTCGCTAATCGGCCGACTAGGACCACACATGCATGCATCCTGCATTTACCGCGGCTCAATATCATTTTCGCGGTGGCAGGTGCATGTAACTTTAATTGGGGACCAGAATTTAGCTGAGTCCGATTTTTATTCCCCAGGCTTGTTGGCGCTCGGGGAATGGAAGTTGAAATAATGATGATAATAATGAGTGGCGAAAGGACGACACACTCATACGGACATCCGCAAATACACCCATACCCGAGGCGGGACTCGAGCCCGCGATCTTCTGGTCCGAATCCACTACGGCGCTACTGCCTTAGCGATCTCGTCTATCTGATCTGCTATTATTATTATTATTATTATTATTATTATTATTATTATTTCTTCAAGTCTCTCGCTTAGCGAGGTGCTTTAGAAGACACCGGGACTTTCGTAGAACCAAGGTGCCTGCTTCGCTTGCAAAGTCGGGCCGTCAGTTATATCAATAGAAACTTCCTAACGATGCGTGCAGTACTCAGGAGAACAGCGTTTTGCATTGTTTGAATGTGCCAGTTCTTAAGACCAAGCCTTGCAGACGATGGTATTAGTTCTTCGGAGATCAGTCCATTTGCAGAGATGACCACAGGGACTACTTCAACAGATACTAAGCGCCACATGTCGCTCAGTTTAGTAGCCTGATATTTTCGCTTCTTCTCGGCAACAGAAGCAACTATATTTCGGTCAAAAGGGATAGCTATGTCGACTATAATACCTTTCCGTGAAACCTTGTCAATCCATGTCAGGTCTATTGCCTTCGACCCTGCGATCAGTGGTGACTGCTACATTCCAAAAGAGCTTCCGCCGTTTCGACTCCAAAACTGAATCCGTCTTGAACTTGTAGTATGGGACCTCTATCTGTATCATCTCTGACTTTGCAGCCAGGGCCTGATGGACAACCGCAGCAACGTCGTTGTGCCGACTCAGGTATTCTGTTTGCGCCAAAGCAGAACACCCGCCCATGATGTGTTGGAGGGTTTCGCCGGGTTGATTGCAAAGGCGGCAGCGGTCCTGTACACTCATATCTTCAATTACATACCTTTGGTAATTGCGAGTGGAGGTTATTTCGTCCTGAATAGAAATGACGAAGTCTTCTGTCTAGCAAAGAGGCCAGATTTTGTTAGCCAGGAGACTGACGATCCTTCATTCACGGCGTTTCCTTTGAGTTCAGCAGGATACCTGCCGTGCAAACGTTTCTAGGTCCACTCAGTCTATCTTCTTTCGTGATTCATGGTCTTTCAGAGTCCGCTTGATTCAGGTTCAGTGGAGTAAAATTCTTGTCCGTGGCACAAATTGCTTCATGCATGACCGTCGTTTTCTGAAGGAAGTATATACGAAGATTGTTGATTTGCTTCGTTCCGAGGTAAGTATAGTCTTGCAATTGAACTGTTGGGATGGTGCATTCGATACTTGGTGAGAGAGGTCCTAACTTTTCGATTAAGCTCCTGCAGTGCAGTTGTTGTTCAGTGAAGAACACCAAATGAATAGACAGCGGCAGGTACTGCCCAAGTGTTGATAGCTGATATGAGGTTCTTTCCATTTAAAAGAGTTTTACAGAATTTTGACACTCTTTGAACAACTTTATTTTTAATATCACATCTCATCTGTGATTCACTTGTACTCAAAAGTTGGTGCAGGCCTAAATATTTATAGGTATTCTCTTGCCCAAGTTCTTGGATATTTGTGCCACACATCAGGATCAGTTTGTCAGGATCAAGAATTTTCCCTCTTTTCACGTGCACAGCAGCGTATTTATCAATGCCAAACTCCATACAAATAGTCTCTAAAGGGCTTAACAAATTCAAGCAACCAGGAAAGCTGACTCTTATCTCTGGCGTATAACTTGAGATCGTCCATGTAGAACTGATGATTAATGAGGATAAAGGGATTTTTTGTGATTTCATATCCCATCCCTGAATCTCTTAACATTCTCCTGAGAGGGTTTAGAGCTAGCGAGAACCATAAGGGACTAAGACTATCTCCCTGAAAAATTTCTCGATTGATCCTCAGTTCCTTGGTGATATAGCTGCCTCCAGCGAATGAGCCTTTTATCTTTGTACGCCAAATTGCCATGCAGTGTTGGATTAAGTACATACTGGTAATTTACTTTGTAGAGGCGAAGGACATACAAAAGCCACGAATGGGGTATCGAGTCGAAGGCCTTGGTATAGTCAATCCATCCTACAGAAATGTTGCGGTGTCTCTTTTTAACTTGATTGACTACAACACTGAATACTATCAATAATTCTTTGATGAGAGTACCCTTTCTGCAACCATTTTGCTTTGGTGCCAGAAGAGTATTGGCCTTTAGATGGGTATACAGCATACTGGCTATCACAGATGTAAAAATCTTATATACTGTGGGGAGACATGTGATAGGTCGATAGTTACTCGGAGTTTTAGGATCGCTAAACTTGCTTATCATAAATGTAACTCTTTCAGTAAAAGACGCCGGAATGATAGTTTCATTGGATAGTTTCAATGATAGGATCATTGAATACAGCTTGAAACCACCTGGCCAGAACCGCATGAGTACACGGGAAATACTTCTACCAAATGTTTTGAATCCCATCAGTACCTAGGGCTTTCCAATTCTGCATCTTTCTGACTGAATTGAAGATATCTCTCTGTGTAATATTAGGAGAGCACATCTGAGGTATATCGCAACAGTTCCCTTCCTCTTCTGCTAACCAGTAAGTTCCATCATCACGGGTCTTGGGGATGCTCCATATATTTCTCCAATATTCCTTCATCTCGGAGCATTTAAGAACCGTTTCAGGCAACTTCCTTTGATTACTGAGTTGCCTGAAAATTTTCTTCTGGTCGCATGAATATAAAGCATTATGTTGTCTTCGTTTCATTGTTTTAAGAAATCTTCTTATACGACACCCAAGGGCTGCAACGCGCTGTTTCAGATACTCAAGTCTGTCTTGGAGCCTCTCCTTGAAATTCATCTGGGTTCTTCGAATTCTCATCTTTCGTCCAATCGCCTTCACTGCATTGGAAACCTTTCTAGTTGCATTCTCCGGAGCTTTTAAGAAGGCTGTCAGAGTGCCTATGTCCCACCGGAAGCTTTCAATTTTGCGTTCAATACGGCTCAACCACTGGGGTTTAGTGGGCTTAGCGTACTGTCTTGTATCTTTTGATATTGTTAACTTATCCTTTACAGGTTTACCAAGACCTTGTACAACAGAAAGGGCTGCACAAAACACATAGCTTACAACTTCCTCAAGCGCTGTCGATTGTTCTACATCCATCTTCAGCAAGTTATTGACAACTTCCATCGCCGCATTTAACGTGGGCTATATCCCACTCGTGGGATCCATGGTCTGGAGGATAATTGAATACCATGATAGTATGTCTTCATAATGCGCAGTCCAAGAGAATTGCTCAGCCTCTGGGAGGCAGAATTCATCAGAATTCGTCTCCACAGACCATTCCTGATTAGCTTGTGAGTCTTCATTATTTCTTCCTTCATCAGTCTCATTCCTATTCTCAATGCCCAAGGATGCTCATACATTTTCCCTAATGGTATTTATCTCTGCAGCTGAGAGAAAGTTCCTTACAATGGTGGTGCGCTGCTGGTCGCACACTCTCTGCTCGGATACGGGTATGTTCGGATGCAGCTTTAACCATTCTTCGTGAAATCGTCCCTGTATCCTTCCATGTCCGCTTCAAGTCTGGTAGCCAAAAAGTACGCTTGCATAATGGAAATATTTAACTCCTTAGTCCATTTCATGCGCTGGCGTTTGTTCTGAGGTCGTGCGGGGTGAGCTCTTGTCTCACCCTAGCTGCGACCCCCAGTATTTGTTTGTAACGTTGACGCCATATGTGGTGCAGCGCCACACCTTCCCGGATGGTATGAGAAGGCTCCACTGCTCTCCACTGGCACAGGTAGCACATTTCTCACTGCGAGCCCAGTGCCAGAACTCGCATCGCCGCCTTGCAAGTGCGGGTCGCATGCGTCACGAATCCTTTGACTTCTTCTCATAACTGCTTCTCCGCCGGCGGACAGGGTAAGAGTCGAGGGTGGAAGCCTCTGAGCCAGAGCCCCATCTGCGCACCATCACTCAACCTCTAAGGTGGTAGCTCAGGCACCTACAGCCCGCAAAACTGTAGGGATGGCTATTTCTTATGCTGACCCATCTCCCAGTTGCCAATTGGTTCGCCGATCCCTTTCCCGGAAGTCAGGGGCACAGGTCACTTCCCAGCTTTCAGAAGATTAGACAGGCATTGGCGGGTTGCCATTGCCCTGACAGCCGACACGTAATAGTGCCTTTGCCCGTCCCCCACGTGCCGCTGTTCTTTCAGTCCACGTAGGGTTGGTCTTCGGGGAACGTAAAAGGGGGTGAAATGGATAGGGAATATTTTGAAAACAATCGGGAAACTGGTAAGGGACAGTTAAGGTACAATTTTGCCACTGGAATAGGGGGAAAAGCGAAAAAAAGAATGAAGAACGAAAGATGGATCAATTTTAGATGGAGGGACAGCGGTCAGCTGCTCCTATTAGTCACCTTTTACGACGCAGGGGAAGATACCGTGGCTCTATTCTACAAAAACACCAGGACACCACACGGGTGTTTTTGTTATTACTACTATTATTATTATTATTATTATTATTATTATTATTATTATTATTGGCGTATAGGCCATTACTGGCCACTCTACATGATTAACGTGTGTAATTCTTCCAGGATCAGCTTTCCAGCTGTATCCTTGGATTACAACAAGGTTGTTACGCCTTGTAGTGTGACTTATGAGATGATAGGATGACGATGATAGGTGAAGGGACAATCACAAATACGACCATGTCTACGCAGGACTCGAACCTGCAGCCTCCTCGGCACAGACGACAGCTACCGCAACCATCTGCGCCACGGGGCCGACATTATTATTATTATTATTATTATTATTATTATTATTATTATTATTATTATTATTATTATTATTATTATTATTAATTATTTTGAATAAACACATTTCTAGTTCACAAGAAGACCTGGCAGTCAAATAACTACCGGCTTTTTCGTCAAACATTAGTTCCTATTAATTTAATTATCTGATTGAAGAAAGTTTTGAACAATGCCGCAAGTATTCAGGACAACAGACTTCTACATCAATTCTAAATATCTTGGATATATATCATTTTTCTGAATCATATCTGATGTGTATTTCTATGAGGCTGGTACTGGAGATAATGATTTGGAGAATGAAATCGCCGTACTTTCTTATTACTTTCTCGCGTTACTAGGTACTTACGCAGTAAAGAGAAATTACTGTAGTGTTGCTGTAAATTCGTATTTTGAAGCCCGAAAACGTTGATAAATCCTGTCCCCTTATGTAGTACGAACTTCCTTTCTTACGTTGTGCAGACAGAGTCCTTGATATCAAAAAATGAGTTAACCACAGAACGTCTGCCCGTCCTCTTTCTGTGTGTCCATCGTCAAAGCTCACGCCTAAACTGTTCAGATTTTCTTCAAATTGATATTCCGTGATCGATCCAGGATCTCGAGGCTCTGCGTGTTCAAAACGTACATTTAGATTTTTTGGGGGGTGTCTTCTTTACATAAAACCTCAAACGCTTTTACAATTTTCTCAAGAATGGCTTCTATTTTTGAAAATTAAACTTTGACCTCGAAACTTTGACTCGGTTCGTCTGTGAATATTACTAGCGCCTAAACCATATGTAGGATATTTACCAAATTGAAGAAACCTGTGACGATCTGGCTCGAGTAGAATCACTGAGATTTTTAAAAAATCTTTAAAATATGGGGATAAAGATATAAAGACCCCTGAACATTTTCAAAATTTTCACAAAAACGGCGCCAAAGTCTTTGTTTAGAGTAAAGTACACTTATAAACGAGGCATATGTCCAATTTTCAGGTTTAACTCAGAATTCTCGAAAACTTCAAAATTTTTAAAAATTTCAGGCTTTTTACAACTGCAAAATTGAAAACAGAGATTTTTCCTTAAAATAAAATTCGTTCTCCATAGTAAGTTTTTTCATTAAGGTCATGTACAGTGTTTTTGAAATTTTTAGTAGTTTTCGCGCAATATTGCGAGCAATTAGTGCAATTTTAAAAAATACAAAAAGAAGATTTTCTCGAAAACGGCTCCAAAGTTTTTCTTTAAACCTTTGGTAGGGTTATTGGTAGATGCACTTAATAAGACGAAATAGGCGCCATATTGCTAAATTCTTTCATTTTTGAAAAATTACAAAAATGTAATTTTTTGACTTGTCTCGCACGTCATTAATATTTATATTAGTGTCAATTTGTTCACATTATATTTATAAGTACATATGCTTTAGATAATGTCAAATAAAATTTCTCGAAAACTCGAAAACACTTTTCTGTGTAAACTAGCTCAAAATTCCGCATTTTCAGAAATGCTCAAACGCTATTTTCTTAAAAAAACCCAAAAAATGTTTTCTTCAAACTTTTCGAACGGATAGTGCTAATTACACTCTTGCATTTAAGGTAAAATTTATTTCATAGTATTTTTTGTTTTTTAAAAAATTACACAAATGTTATATTTCTGAAAGGTTTCTCACGTCGGTATTATGCCCATTTGCAGCAATTTTTAAACCCTTTTGGATTTGTGAGTTAAAGTACTTGAAATGATTTCAAATGACGTTTTTCGAAAACTGAAAAATTTTCTGTGAAAAAGTGCTTTAAAATTCGAATTTATAGTTGCACTTAAACGGATTGAGATTTGTCAAAGAAAATTGCCATTTAGAATGGGGTTTTAGGGTTATTTAATAATCGTAAAATAATATTTCCGCTCTCCGATTAGGAAACCAAAATGCTCAAATTAAAATCAATGTAGATTTAATGTACGACTGTACATAAAACGTAATGTACCTTGTACGTTAAAACGAGATTAATGTGTTAGTACATTAAATTTAATGTTTAAATTAAAATGCACGCAGATTTGATATATAATTATGGAACATAATTACTGCTTAAAAACTTTGAAATATTTTATTCACTATTTTCACTAACATAAAATAAATTTAAAATACAATTTTCATTGGGACTTTATGTTTTATTCTGTACAATAATTCTTAATTTTTTCCACAAAACCATTTAGTTTAATATTGTATTTGAATATTCGCTCCTCTCAGTTGTGTTGCGTTTTTACAACATTTTCCTGACGGGGTCTTTATTTTGGGAGCAGCTTAGGAAATTCCGAACCTTTCCTGTCCCTTTCTGGCAAAACAAAATGGCGGGTTTCCCAGCCTGTCTATTTCAGGTACCCGAGTGTTGGCCCAACACTGTTGGGGATTTATTCGTATTCTGAAGCTCTTGTAGTCATGCTAGAGTAATAGTAGACATTTCTAAAACTTGTGCAAAATCAAAGAAACGTAAAAACATTCTGATATGAAAGCGTGTGGATCTTATGAATGTTATTCTTCACTTCCTGTTCTCATCACAGATGTTTCCTAGAGCGGTTGGCGGTTAACATCGAGAGAAGCTGAAGCAATTCAGGCATATTGGTTTCGTCAAGAAAAATTCAGATTAATACTAATTAGTATTATTTATTTAATATTAATTAGTATTATTTATTTAATATTAATTTGTATTATTTATTTAATATTAGTTAGTATTATTCATTTAATATCATTTTCATTATTAACATGATTTAATATTATTTTCATGAAATGTTAAATTTGTTAATCTCTACCTATTGATGGATATGTGCTGAAGATTTCAAGTGACCGTCTAAATATAAGAATGGACCAATTAAATTAAGACAATGAACTGAAGTTCAGGAAATGAGTGTGACATAGAAACTCCAAAGTAAATAACTGTAATCCTGGAACAAAAAGTTCTACAATTTTGTAAAGATGTTATGTATGTGTGATAATTGCCAACTATTACGTTTTTGGATATACCTATTCTGCAAAATTAGAAACAACCCTCGGATTCATATGAAGGTAAGTTTGAGTTGTGTTATTAAGCAATAAATTAAAAGTAATGTTTCATTAAATAACGTATTACTATCGATAGAACATCTGAGATAAAATTCTTACATTACATTCTTAAGGCGTTTTAATAAATTGGCAATTGGTCTCAGTTTTAAGTAGCAGTAAAATTGCATTAAAGAAAACATTGTGAATATGGGTATTGTTAAATAGAGAATGGATTGTATCCCTACGGACCAAATAGTTTTTCTGATTTAGTCATTTCTAGAATGACCAAAGAAAGCTAACATTATATAATTATAATATTACCATCTAGTAATAATATTACTATTAGTTTGTTTCACGTTAAATCGACTTTCTTTCTCACTTTGTTCTTTTATTGTGTATCTTTCTCCTTTTTGTAGTCAGTTCCTACATACCTGCAAATCCATTGCCTCTGTAAATTATTTTTATTGTTATTTGTTTAATTGTGAAAAAAGGTAATGCTGATTAAATATTATTTATTAATAATTAAATTAATGCTTTCTGGGAATTTTGAAAATAAATCCAACAAAGGGGATACACGGCCTCAAATAGAAGATAGAAAAAATTGATTGTTTTAAATTGGCCAAAAATATGGACAAAATACAACGAAGTGTACATTGTAACAAGTTGTGAAATTTTCAGTTTTGTAATTGTGAAGAAAATAAATTTTACTGTATTAAGAAAAGTAAAATATTTATTCATTATTCCATATTTAATATATAAATAATGTAAATAAATTCTTGGTAAAATTAATTCAATAATATTTAGTATACAAGTAAATTACTATTTATAGGGGGCTATATAAGAGTTCTATTGATACTAGCAACAAGAAGCTATGTCGTGTTTGGAGTAAAAGCACAATCAGAAATATCTGCATTACTTTTAATGTAAAAGTATATGAGATTAAATACCATACACGCACATTAAATTGAATGTACACGTCCTGAAAATTGAATGTACACATACAATAAATTTTATGTACACTTCATTAAAATCAATGTACGTTTGTCCATTAAATTTTATGTATATGTACTACACTAAATGTAATGCACACGTACTTTAAAGTTACTGTACGAGTACATTAAATTTAATTTGCGTTCATATTACTTTAATGTACTTTTACATTAAAAGAAATGGAAACATTTCTGACAGTGTTGTTGAAAGACTGAAGTACTCGATCAAGACCAAGTTAGCCAACTCTCTAATTGAATAAATCTCCAAAATTCGAAATTCGTTGTTAACCGCCAACCGCTCTAGGAAACATCTGTGATGAGAACAGGAAGTGAAGAATAACATTAGACTAGGATAATAGCTGGCGAACAGTTTATCAGTTTGGTCGTCATAGTATTTCTCACGATTTTTGGTATTAATTCGCACGTTCTTCGTCTGAAAGCTACACCCAAGTTTGTAGCTGAAAGATCACAAACGAATAGATTATTAGATTCAAGCCAATAAATCGATGGTTCAGCTGGCTAATCAGAATATCTAAACAAGTGAAGTAATCAATATCTCTGAATCCTTTTTAGACATCAGATAAACTATCTTCGCACTTCATCGAAATGACGTTTCGTGTTTTACGTTTCTCGCAAAACACTACTTATATGTTCCAAGATATAGGGATGTCCATTGCATCGGATGTGGCTTTGTCAAAGTCACATCTGAAATCTTTTAGATTATTGGAAACTGCTTCCATCTAATCAAATGTTTGGCAAACATCAAAATCAGATATTTGCAGACAGCATTAGTCGCGATCAAAACTTTTGAATGTAACACAACTTGGAATACAAATTCGATAGTCTCCAGTTCTTTTTTCATATTTCGCGGTCAGATGCACTTTTGCTTGTTAAGATTATTTTTGATAAAGCTTGCAAAACAATTTATCTGATCGGAATCTACAAAGGGGAATTATTTCTTCTGGGCCATATACTAGTACACAGACGCATCAGTTTTGGGTCTGTCCAACTTTAAATGATGTAATAAATAATAGGGGTCCCGGTCATATTAGAAATTTGGAAAACATCTTCACGTCCTCAAAATAAAATACATACTTCAAACCACCGTGATTTAAACTTTCCACTAACCGATATATGATAACAAAGAAATCGCTTTCTGAAGGAACCTTTGAAGTGTGTTCAGTCAGACAAAAAATTGCTTTTGGGACCCCTTGTGTCTGGTCACCTCAGGGGTAATTGCACCTGTCGGCCCGGCAGTAGTTATGCTAGTGGTTCTACTTCTTATCACTGATGCAGCCCCTGGCATGGTGAACGATTGCAAGGTTTGCAGCTATTCTACCTTAAAATGATACATGCAACATGCATGGCATATGTACTTAATAGAGTTGCGGAAGAAATTCGTAGAAATTATGATTGATGTATCCTGATGTATATAAGTTAATTTCTGCAGTGAAGAAAATATTCATCAAAGCTTCATTACGAGTACAATAACTCAAGGAAATGGTTACTTCGATGCCATTGCCTCTCCAACCCATTATTAGAAGTTGGAGCACGTGGCTTAATGCCGCAAACTACTACTGTGCCAAGTAAGATGCTATCGAAGTGGTTAACACATTTAATAAAGACGTAGCTGCCTCCATTCAAATCGACATATTATAGACTATAGATATAAATAAATCAAATAAATCTATAAATTCTTTCTATCTTGCCAAAAACCGAAGATTGCTTTTTAATTAAAATGATTTATTAATGTTTATTTTAAAATATGTGTTGTACAGTTATATAAATATTTTTGATCATAATAATTGATAAACACTCGATATTTTGATATATGATTCAGTGAAAAACGGTTTCATTGAATTAGCAGTTCGGACCGTTCCAATAACCATGAGACGTCACTTCTGTGTTCAACTAATCTAATTAATAACATTCAATAATAATTAAATAATTAACCAAATTGAAAAAAATGTATATCATTTCAGCGCAATTAACTTAAAGCATTCACATAAACGAATATTTTCATGTTTAAAATAGTGCTGAAATTTGCCCCTCCCCCTTCCATTAAAGGATTCGAAATCCCGCCTTTGGTGAAATATGAACAATATTAAAAAATATTAAGAACACGATATTCTCCAAATCGCTTCGAATTCTTGTACTTCAACTTGTGTAAGGATAGTGTTAAATGCACTGCATAAGATTACGTAACCCCAATTTTCCTGAAGTGTTTTGTTTTTCCAAAAATTCACAAACGTAATATTTTTGACATCTCTCTCAATTGGATAATAGTTGCATTATCGTCTTGTATTTGAATATATTATTGTATTTATGAGTTCCAGAGCGTCAAGTGATATAAAGTTTCTCCAAAAATAAAAATTAAAATGAGCTCAAAATTGCGCATTTTACGAAACACTCGCACGCAATTTTCTCTAGATGGCTCCAATGTTTTTCTTTAATCGTTTTGAACGGATAGTGCTAAATGCATCGAATAATATGATATCAATACTATTTTGATTTATTTTTTCGTTTTTTCAAAAAGATGCACAAATCAATTTTTTGTGAACTGTTTCTTACATCGTTAATATTACGTTACGAACATTTCTTATACATAATTTTATTTGTGAGATCAAGTGCTTGAAATGAGTTCTTAAGAAACTTCTTGGCAACTCGGAAATTTGGGATGAAAATGAGCTTCAAAATTCACATTTTCAAAAATGTTTAAACTGCATTTTCTTAAAAAGTCTCCAAATTTTTCACTGAAAATGTGTTCAGAAGACCAGATTTTACCCTTCTGTAATCTTCTTACTGAAGAGTTGAGGATTGAGACTAAAGAGTTGAGGATTCCAACTAGTACAAAAAAGTATGTGCCATTCGGTGGCCAGTAGTTGATAATTTCATATCGCGCGCGTTTTGTAGAATACTGGGAATACTAGCGCAACATGTGTCGTCTGCACGTACCAAAACCTTTAATATAATGCAGTATTTCGCCGGATGGCGCTAGTATACTTTTCGGGGTGGGGGCCTATGGGGGTGTGCAAGTGGCTATGGTGTGGGTTGTCGCAAGTTCCTTGGAATGCATCATCGATTTCTGCCGTGTGGGTGGCGACAATCATGCCTCTTGTGTTGTACTAACCTAAATTGTACCAATGGAGCCAGAAGTTATATTCCGTAGTTACTCACTATTCACTGATCACCGCAGTTCAATGTAGGTTACAGAAGCAAATTGTGTCGTGGGAGCTTGGCTTTAGTTAATGTTTTAGCCCTCTGCGAGGCTGGTCTTCGTGGGTAGGAGGTTCGAAAGAAACATTTTCGACGGTGTTCTTTCTACTGCCGTCCCCAAATACAGTTGCCGTCATGTCTACGGCGCTGTTAGCCGCAATAGCGGTGATCTTGTGTATTCTGTTTAGAATATTGAATGTCAACAGCCAAGCTCACAAACCCGTATTACACTGCAAAGATACCCACTTCTTAGAAACCATCTTAAAGATTGCTCCTCTTCTTCAAGAACCGTAAGTATTTAATTATATTTTTCATTGTATTTCTCAATTTTCTCGTTTTCAGATCCCTGTCGGCATGTCGGGGTGTGGTATGACATCTTTGACAGGCAACGGGGAATTATAAGTTCTTGAGTACGATCGTGTACTTTTGTTATGAATGTGATGATTTACACGGTAAAATGGCATCAGGAGGATGTTTTTCTATATATCACAAAGAATCATGTTTGAACTCTTGACAGGTCGTTCTTATGTGGTTTGCACTGGTGTTACCAGAGTTTTCAGATTTTGAATATGATCTCTGTGCATTGGTTTTGAAGAAACAAAACACATGAGATAGTTGCATAGCCATCTGTTGTTTTTGCCCTTGTCACTAGCTAATTGGTCATTATTTGCTGATACCTATTATATTTGTTATTTTGAATTGTCAAGTGCATGTTTCATGTCTAGATTCGGTGCAGGATGTATAAAGTTACAAGGTTAATGGAATTTTGCATATGAATAATTTTCATTAGCATTCTATTAATTTACCAATTACTTGTATTATTGTGTTTTGTTGCACAAGGGTTAAGTTTTGAAAAAGTTTATTTATGTTTTTAATGTTTATAATTCTATTATTTGAACATTGATTTTGTATGAATATTGGATTTGCCAAGTTCTTTAATGTTAAAAATTAAGGGACAAAGACTCCCGTATTCCCATCAGTTGCCCAGTAAATACATATTTCGATACATGTCGGTTTATGGTCTGTGTAATATTTTTCTGCAGTACCATTCACCAATCTTTTTTCAATTGGACCGTTGTATTTCTACGTGTGGTATTTATACCAATTTGATTTCAACGCTTAGCTTTAATTCTTATGTGGAAATTGAGCTTCTAAATATATTTAAAATGTGCTTATGAAATGAAACAATGTTGTTAAAGTAGTAATTTCTTGCATTCTTACTGCTCGAATGCTGCTAGATGATTAGTTGTTGTGATGAATTTAATGTGTTTTTATTTTTAATCTGTATGTACTAATGAAGTATTGAAGATTGTTGTGCGAGACAAGAAGTTATCTTCCCATACAAGAAATGATTACGTTTGATGGGTATTCTTTATGTATCTAATTAGTACTGTATCCTCTTGTGCATTGATGTTTATTCTTACTATTGTTTGGAAATTTTGTGCCACATACATGTACACATTGAGACAATTTTCCCTCTGGTGTCTTCATACCTTCTATTAACAACCTTCATACTGTTAGGGTTTCTGTGATAATATTTTACAAAGAAATGACATCAAATTTTTTAATTTATAAATAATTTAGTTATTGGAAATTATGAAAATAAACTATTTTTTTGTTTTGAAATGATCATTTACATTTGAAAATTGGGAGTGGAATGTTAAAGGTCAAGAAATTGATTTTTGTGACACTGATGTCATCTTCTTGCAAAAGAGTCAACATGAATTTTGGGAATTGGAACAGAAACAGCATTTTCTTGTGTTTTCTATAAAATTTCTCTGAAGAAGAAAATGAGATGGCCCATCAAATCTAAAGAATTTTTTTTGTCAGAATTAGAAGGGGTGGCGTGTCCTTGTAATGGTCTTTAATAGTTATAATTATGAATCGTATTATGGTGCAATTTTTGCTACATAAATTAATTATTTTTTTTATTTTGTGTTTCCCTCATGGCTGTATACTGTAATTTGGTCATAGTCATATTCCGTTTTACTCCCTCACCCCCTCCCCTATTCATTGTGTCAATAGTTACTGTTGTTGTGACTTTACCCTGTTCTGCTTTCAAACCTGTCATTTCGTATTGATTCTTCATGTTTATTTTCTACCATTCTGTCTTTTACAGCAATATTTGTTTTAATGTTTTCCCCACTTACTATTCTTGGTATTTTGCCCCAATTTCCTGAGTCTGTGTTGCACCAACTATTTTATAACAACCTACTCAGTGCTACTCATCCAGTTACCACTCTCCACTCATTCTCAGTTTTCCATTTCATACAGCCTCTTTGAATGGTTACTATCCCACTTTAAACTTTTCGATCATTCACCATACTTCATAATGTCTGTGGTCATTATCTAATGTAATTATCAGTTGTTGGAGTTTTGGTTTGAGAGGCTCTGTAATTTTGTTGGAAATTCTTTACTTTGTGTGTAATTTAAAGAAAGTGCCTCACACGTTTGCATTTGTGGTATTGGTACTTCTCAGTTTGTGTATTGATCCACGACGTAGCATTTTAGGAATTTCCTTGTCCATAATCGCATAATTTCAGGTCCGTTGAATTCAAACAGACTTGCTCCTTCTGACATCTGTTGGAAAACTTGCGAGTCGGAATAGGGACGGACTAAGGAAGGATGGACTGGTGGATAAATGTCTCCCTTTGGACCGAGAAATGTTTCACTCCATATAACGTTTCCGTTATTCTAAATGTTGGTTATTTTTTTTTTAAATTGTTGCCGCCTGTCGAAAGTCGCCTCATCTAAGGAGTTGAATACAGATGAATCGAGAGAGGGGATATGTTAAAAAATAAAGTTAGTCGTAAAATTATTTTACGGTTATGTTTTGATTACGAACTTGACTGTGCGAAATACAAAACGTAACAGTCCATCGATTTATTGAGCATGCCAGTGAATAAAACTGCCAGACTTAATATCTAGCCTCAGCAATATGTTGTCAGTTAGACGTGGGCTCACTCAAAAGTTGAGGAAATAAACCGAATTTATTATACAAGGGCATTTGGTCGATCATTTTTTAGGGGAGGGGTAGTAACTTACGTCGTATTCACCATGATATAAAACAGCTTTCTAGGTATAATGATTATCTTTTATAAGTGATACGTAAATGCATTTCCCCCATTTCTGTTAAGATACAGTGACATTGGTACTTTCTGTGACACGATTTTCTTTTTAAAGGGAGGTTTTGAAATCTATTTCACTTCAACCGGAATCCGTCCTTTTCTGTCTTAGTATAAAGCTTTCTAAAACGCCATAAAATGACTCAAAAGTAATAATGTGAACCCTTTTAAGGCATTAAGTACTTATTAAAAAGTAAAATTCATTTGTTTTAATTGTGTAAAATAAACGAAATGGGGAGATGACCTGAACATTATCTGAGTAACCTGGGGCTTGGACTTACAACCGCGAGTCTCTGGGTCAGATCCGCAACTATAAATAAAACAAACCAAAACAACAACCAATTTTTAAATGCAAAGTCCTGAAAGATAATGTATTATTTATTAAAGTAAAATCAATATTACAAGATTTAGATAGATTATTAAGAAATTAAATAACCAACAAAAAGGTATTAAATTTATAATATATTATGTTATTTAGAATATGTATATTACAAAAGATAATTCACAAAAAATGCAAATGGAGCGTTTTTTGTAAGAAGTACAAGTAGTCCACATGGGCCTCCCTGGCAGTTTCGGGATATACGCCTAATTCGATATGATGTGTAACTAGCTTAACGTTGCGCCTCTGGTGGGTATTTTTCGTTTTAAGTACTTTTTAATAGTTTTGTTGCTTTACAATATCAGCTTTAGTTACCGTAAATATGAAGAATCAAGTCCTGGCTATGTAAATGTCGGAAAGAGTATAGTAATTCAGTTTTAACAGTGTGCTCGTAGATAACCATCAAAACACGTTGTTTTAGATTTGTTTCCGTTGAGGGGAACTTGATGATTTGTGCCAATCGATTTCTCTTGTGAGAGGAGTAGAATGAGCTATTCACATTCCTGTAGGAACCGTAAAACAGAAATAGTGTCCATTATTTGAGATGCAAAAAACACAATTTTAAATGAAGTTTTAGAATTTTCGAGATGGATCCGCAAAGCGATAATCAGTTTCTCATTAGGAGGCCAAGACGCGTCTAATGCCATCTCATTTGTCTCGTTTCGTAGACAGGACCGTGAGGTGGCCGATGGTCTAACCGTGAGGACAGACGCAGGTTATTCGATTGCTATATAAGGATATTGACTGACATTGACAGTAACTGGACTTTGACTCGCCGTACCTCCTAGAAGCCGGCTGAATTCTCGTCACGGAGCACGTGCTGAGGACGTGATGTAAGAATTAATGTCGTTGACTAGATTATGCTGGAACCACTCGGCGCCCGTGATTCATAGGTGGGTCGTGAAGTAGTCTTATAGTGGGCGGGTGGGTAGGGACAACGCTGGTTCAGGCTTTTCCATCATCGGGAGAAATCCCTTCCGTGCGAGCTTAGCCGTTGCTCCGGCCTTCTATTAAAAGTCTAGAAAGCCGCAGACACCGCGTACTTTCGCTATTGAAGAGCGTTGGTCCGGAGCAATGCCGCGAGGGCTTCAGCATTGCTGGTTTGTTCCAGTTGGCAGCGGCAGTCTTCACACTCGCTATCACCGGATCGATTTTTTAAAGGCTACAGTGTTCACTATTAATAATTTTCGTGTTAAAGTGACGTAAACATTGTGTAGTCACGGGACAAATAGGTTAGCCTAGGAAGCTTTACACTTGCAATATTTATAATCTTGCATAAGGTGTAGAGATTGTTAATTATTTTTTTCTCATGAAAGGATTAAAATTGTAATTGTACCCAGAAGACACCTCCAGGGCACTTCTTTTCAGTTGCCATAGTTTTAGTGATCTTGTATCTTTTAGTTTCCGCTAGCACTATGTAACAATGTTTGATTTTATCGATAATTAAATAATAATTTGATATTACCAACTACTTCTTTGGTAACCTTACTTGCAGGATTTTGACTGAGTTAATCGTATTCCATTAGGAAAATCCTACTGTAATCGTACAAATTATCCAGCAGAAATCATGCATCGCATAGCTGGTCGAGCAGACGGCAACTTTCAGATTAAAAAACACTGCTATTAGGGCAATAGTTTTCGAATTGTCCTCGGGCAATTAACTCTTGTGGATTGCCAGTGCGAGTAACGAGATATTTGTGTGAGAGTGACTTGCATATACTGATTCAAACACGCTTCAAAGGGTTTGGACACGATTAAATAAGGTGGAAATAAACAAAAATTCGTCGATGTGAAAATGGAAGAGAAGAAACACGCGAGAAGCTTGAGCCGCGGAGTCGGTAGCTTGGCGCGCGATTGCTATCTCGATCTCTGATCTAGGCGAACGGAAAGTAAAGCATAGGATTTAGAAGTTGTGGTCAAGATAACACTGCACACTGTTGGAGTTGTGAAAGTGAGCATACGCTATGTGAAGGCGCCATGTCGTAGATGTGCTAGTTGGCAGAAAAAAAAGATCCCTCTGGGTGCGAATGTTTTGGAGGGAGGCTCCGTCTGCCAGCAGGTTGTTCCTATCTCTTGTTCTCCAGCTCTAATTTCTTCTCTCCCCCTCCTCCACTCCCTTTCCCCCTCTCCCTCTCCTCTCCCTCTCCCTCTCCTCCTCTCCCTCTCGTCCTCTCCCTCTC